AACGAGATCTAAACACTTAGATCGCTGTCCTTCTCTCATTCTTTTTTCGAATTTTATGTGTTGAATGAGGTATTCATTCAGGGAGAGTTGTAGTAGCTTGTGGTAAAATGACGTGGACGGGGCGTTTGTTAGGGTAATGTTCCTGTCTATTCCTGGAGCGTTGAAGTCACCGAGAAGTAGTAAGTTCTCCTGCTTACATAACAACTCCAGTGCGCTAAGTAGTTCCATATCGGCGATTTCCTTCGAGTTGGGAGGCCGATAGACAGCACACAGGTTCAGTGTCAAGAATTGTTTGATACATATCTTGCATGAAATTATTTCAAAATTTCGGGGCGCACCATGGGATATTTCTCGTTGACAGCACGCAATTTCATTTGACACATAAACCGCTGTGCCTCCTCCTCTACGCTAAAATCTGTCACAACGGAACAGTTGGTAGCCTTCAATGCTGACTTCGCTGTTACTTATTACCTCAGTCAACCATGTCTCTGGTAGGACACTTATGTGTGGCTTCTGTTCAGAGACTAGTAATCTGAGTTCATCTAGCTTGTTGAGAAGACTCTGACAGTTAGTGTAATGGATTTCTAGACAGCGGCCACTGGTGCGAGCAGCCTCAGGATTTGGCACCTTTGCATCGGTTAGGCTGTCAGAATGACGGCCTTCGGCCAGAGAAATGTCCTTTGGACCTGAATTATTTGTCCATTCTTGATTTTTAGGTGTGTTTCGCCGCTGCTTATCCGCTTTTCCAGCTCCTTTATCAGCTCTCTCATTTTCATTCGCTCTTTTGGCTCGTAATCCGTCTGAAAAAACTTCAGAATGCTGACCCCGCAGAGATGATTTTATCTGTAACAGGAGCTGGGCCTGGGCTTCAGTCTCCAAAATGACTTTTAGGGATCGAGGCCGGGAATTGGAACCGGATGCTGACTGACTCTTCCCTATTCGGAATACTTTGAGAACATTAAGTGACTCATCGTCTCTTAGCAAAGTTTTCGCATACACTTGAAGAAGGTCTACGTCATGCATAACTCTCTCCTTTGGAATTGTTGCCGTTGATTCGGGTACTCCTTTTATAACTTCATTTTGCTTACGACTTATTCTTTCTTGTGGCGTCAGAATGAAGCTTACTGGTCGAATCTGCATTGATGCCGCGGGGGGGGGGGGCAGAGTGCGAGCACACTATTTCGTCAGTTTGCCTGTGTCTCTGGGTCTTTTTTCCCCAGAGCTCCAACAGAGTATCCCGTGATCGTCCACGAAAGGACAACCGGCGCGCAGACGGGGTGTCTACCGATACTCCACCCCCCTACATCAGTCGTACTGACAGACTGCTGCCTTCCACCCACGCCTTCACGAACAGCCCGATTGTATTTGGTCGCTCTGGCTGGACTGCAAACTGGGACGCCTTGCAAACGCCTCCATGGCCAGTTAGCGATCGTTTCCTGCACTTCAACGTTAAGGCACTACGACCCCCCGACGCTTCGACATTGCTGGGATTCAACTGCGCGCACTTCACCTAGCACATCGCGCACTAACAACCTCCAGGGTTCAGACTTAAACATCAAGGCGTTTCATACGCCCCTCACACCGGAAGTGTTTACTATCACTCCTTGCGATCACCGCCGGCTGCAGGTTAGTTCGTTAGCGATCAATTGCGAAGGCAGCTTGCGGTTTCTTCTATCGACTCCACCCCTTCTTCCTTTCCCGCGCTTGGGCGGAATCGCTTTTTCCGGTTTCAGCCAGGTAGATGGTGCGCCTACTTAGCGAATAGGTCCTCATCCTATTTGCATTCGTACTCGTATCCAAGTCGGTTGAACAGGCAGAGGAAAGGAGGCCAGCAATTGGTATAGAAATGAATTTACGATTGACATAAAAAGGGCCGTTATATCCCTAGGCTTTCACTGAGTTCACTTGGCTATGTCTTTCCTTCGGGTTTTTCCGTCCGTTTGGCAATGTGCTGGAGCAGCAATCATTGCGCCTGTATTTAGCTAACATAGTGGGTTATGTCAACAGTACCGATGCTTACTTCTGCGTCAGTTGCGTTTCATCGTGCGCTGTACAAGTGCGGTCAGCAACCGGGTAGGCCTCCGCTATATGTTTCAGGAACAATTCCCAGGACTGAGACAAGTTGTCTGCCTTCACGCCATACCAGAGGCGGTACTGGACTTCGTCTACGTGGGCCAAGAGTTTCCTTCCACGGATGGGACCGTGCTCACGCAATTTTCTATTCAGCGTACTCCAGTAGGCTTCTTGTGCGTTGGTGCGTTTCTTCTTTATGAGATCGACAAAATTAACGGAATGATTAACCGTTAAATTCCGATATCCTTCATCCACCAAACGCACATACCCTTTCCATTGATCGGTTACTATTACAATCCCTGGCGCAATCTACTTCTTTATCACAGCCCTTAGCGACGGCCAGCTTCGATAATTCACCTGCTTGAAAAGAGCTTTCGTTTTGTACGAATCAAACATGCCCATCACAGAGAAATGATATGCTGTTAACTTACCTGTAATCCAATTCTGCTTTTTAAGTCTGCCAACGTTGTATTTGCGCCGCGTAATCATCGTTTTGTCAAATTGGACTTCGACGTCCTGTCCACCAAGTTGACTGACCTCTTGCAGGAGGGCTTTTCTGCAGACGTCTCGCCACACACCGTACCACTCCACTGCCGTATTGCGGCTTATGCCAACTGAGGTTGCACATCTGATGATCATTGAAAGCAAAGTAGGTTTTCATCGTCTTAGGCAGTGTCAGGGACCTCCCCTCAATTACTGAGCCCGCTCTCAGTGCTCTTTTATCACCACAACAGGCGCATCTTCAGTCTGCATACCGCAGTACACAGATCTAACCTGAAGGCATAACCATAGGGGAGCTGTCGCAGTATTTGTAATGGCATGACCTTTCGACATCTACTTAACACCCGACAGGTCAGTAGTCCTTTCTGCTGGAGATACTGCACTAGGTAGGGGGACTGGATTATTTCCAGGATCCGCGAATAATCTGTCGGTCTATCCACCTGCGGTCTTGCTTTCCTTCGCCTTCTAGGAGACTGGGCTTTGCGAGCAGAACAGAGTGGAACTTCATTTACACTGTGCTAATTCCTCTTTACGTTGCATAATCCACCGTCCGCGTATAGCACACAACTACTGCCATTGTTTAAAACACAAATGTGACCACAGTGGCAATAAACTATTATTTGCGGATTTTCTCTTCCGCCCAACCATATTTTTCGCATTAAAGTCTTACCCCGCTTGCGTTGTGTCGTCCTGCGTGCCGCTGCTTAACTCTGGTGTTCCCTCCTCCATTATGTCGGTTAGCGTACTATCACACACACTGCGGAATGACCTTCAGACAAACTGCCTTCTTCCTATTGGTTGTTCGCCCTCACTTGCTATAATTTCCAATCTGGGGCTAGGATGCATTTATTCCGCATACCGTTCTAAGTATCCCGGTTCATTTCTATATCTTCCTTGCATTTTTCACCTTATTTAAATTAGGCTACCACTTTACCGGGAGCGTCAATTCAGGGCATACCCTACAACCTCCATTTACACATCCATTCATTTGCGTCACCCGTATAGTTCCTATCACCACCGGTCCCGTAAGACAGGTAGCTGGGAGTTTTCGGCAACAGGGCGGCTACCAGCTATGATCTTATCAGTTATTCATGTATATAATTGAAGGAGGGCGCTCATCGATCGTTATTACGGAAAATACTCGTCCCGTTGTGCATCACAGGCTCTCTATCTCTAGCCCACCCAGCAGTCGCACAGCGGCGCATGATATAGGCAGTACGTTATTATCGACAAAAACAAAGGAGACTGGGATGGCCAATTCTGGCTTACTAGACGTCGTTAGTCAGTCAAACCCAATTTCGAAATTTGTAGCACCCGAAGCTCGAACTTGCGGCCTGTTAGTTAGAAGGCTACGTCTCTAACCACTGGGCCACGTGCCCATTGCCCTGTCGGTTTTCGATCGGGAATTTACAATGGTAGGCGACGCTTACCGATCGTTCTTGCGGAACTCACTCGTTCCGTTGTGCCTTACGGGATCTCTCTCTCTCTCAAGCACAACCAGCAGCCGCACAACGTCCCGTAAGGCTTAACGGGCAGAGTGATTTCCGTAAGGAAGATCTTTAAGCGCCCTCAAAATTGTATATTCCCGACCGCAGCCGACAGGACAACAAGCCTGTGGCCTAGTGGTTAGGGGCGTTAGAGTTCTAACTAAAAGTTCGCGGGATCGAGCCACAGGTGTTCACACTTGGGGTTGGGTATGACGTAAGTTATGTCGTTCCCGCGAACTAACGTACAACGGCTTAATAACCTCATAAACGGAGAGAGGTAAGGAAGGCCGGTAAGTGAATAAAGTTAATATTCAAAATGTGCAAAGACCTGACCAGAGAGCACGCAAGCGGCGCGAAGCTTACATGCGGCGGAGTCCTCGTCACGTTAAAACAAATGCTACAGTAAAACAAACGTGACAAAATTGTCAAAGGTCAAGTAGTCAAGTACTTCAGCACAGTACCCCCTCCGAGACCGGAGGGCGGCGTGAACGACGCCGGAGGACATACAAAGGTCTAGGAGAAATGAGTAACTAGACGATCGGGAAAGTGAACGTGACGTCGACTGTGGGTGATATATGCGGGAGGCACTGTTGGAGACAGCTGAGTAGGTGTTTTAGTGGACAAGTTAAGGGTGGAGGAAGAGATTGCAGTTTGATGCTGCGAACAAGAAGGAAGAGAAAGTATACGGGGCGGAAGTATAGGTGGGGAAAGTGGAAAAGGAGTGGGAGGAGGTATGGGGTCAGCACATGCTTGTCCTTGAGACACGTCCGGGGTCCCCTCTGCAACAGCAGCCTTAACTCGGTCGATGCTGACTACGTCCTCTTTGTCACCTCGCAGGATCCGAAAGGTCTTGCTGTTACGTGCAAGCACACGGAACGGTCCTTCGTATGGTGATTCTAACGGCTTCCGCACACGATCACACCGAACGAACGCATGGGTTCAGTTGACTAAGCTTTTTTCAACATAAGGCTCGGTCGATGGAGCACGAGGTGGAACCGGGGAAAGCGAGCGCATGAATTGTCGCAGACGACGCACAAAATTTTCGGGGGTCTCTTCGGCACCACGAGAGGTTGGGGTGGCCATCTCACCAGGGAGTCGGAGGGTAGTGCCGAAAACCAATTCGGCTGCGCTGCAGTCCAAGTCTGACTTCAGTGCCGCACGAATGCCAAGAAGTGCAACGGGTACATTGTCTGACCAGTTTTCGGGATCTTCTGCGGCACGCAGTGCAGTTTTTAGCTGGCGGTGGAAACGCTCAACTATGCCGTTGGCAGCTGGGTGGTAGGCCGTCGTCCGAATACATGTGCAGCCAAGGAACTTGAGGAGAGTTTGGAGACGTGTGGACTCAAACTGCGTGCCTGGATCAGTCGTAATCATGGATGGCGCACCGAATATGGCGACCCAACCACTTACGAAGGCTTTCACAATGGTCTCAGCTTGCACGTTCGGTAAAGGAATGGCTTCCGGCCAACGGGTATAGCGATCAACGCAGGTGAGAAGGTGAGTATAGCCATTGGATGGAGGTAAAGGACCTAGGACATCTAAATGCAAATGGTTGAACCGTGCATCGGGGCTGGGGAACGTGCCCGATGGAGACTTGTTGTGGCGTTGAACCTTGTAAAGTTGACAGCAAAGGCACGATCGTGTCCAAGCTTTCACATTCTTGTTCAACCCAGGCCATACGAACCTATCCGCGAGGAGCTTCTGTGAGGCTCGAATCCCAGGATGGGAGAGTCCGTGGACAGTTTGAAAAACAGCTCGACGCATCGAGGCAGGCACATAAGGCGATGAAAAGGAGTCGATACGTCACAAAGGATTGTGCCAGTGCCGGTGGTCAATGGGACGTCAACTAATTGAAGACTGTCAACAGCCTCATAGCCAGGGCATCCAACACGTCGTTGTTCAGCCGCCATAGCAGCAAGATCAATCCCGTGTGAGAGGTGAAACGCCGAGAGGGAAGGTCTGGACAGCATGTCGGCCACCGCATTCTTCGGGCCATCAATGTGGCGGATGTCGGTGGTGAATTGCGAGATGTAATCCCAATGAAAAATCTCTCTCGGGTTATATTTTTTAGAATGGGATCGTATGGCAAATATAAGTGGTTTGTGGTCTGTGAAAATTGTGAAGTCACGACCCTCAAGGAAGTGTCAGAAATGTTTTACGGCTAGGTAAATTGCAAGAAGTTCACGGCCAAACGTGCTATGTCTCGTCTCGGCAGATGAAAGCTTCTTGGAGAAGAATGCCAACGGTCGTATCGAGTCGTTGATATGCTGTTGGAGGACTGCTCCTACGGCAACGGTCGAAGCATCAACCATCAGGGACACATAGTCACATAGTCCGCTTGTTGCTGCAGAATGTATCTGTCAAGTCGACATTAGATGTCTCCACAGATTGAGACATGACAATCGTCTCGAGAAGGTTATTCCACGGTTCCATAGCACGGTTGCAGAAAAAACATTTTCTCACATTCAGTCTACCCTGGGGCACTTGTAACTTGAATAGATGTCTCCGGAGGTTAGTTGTAGTGACGAGTTGGAAAAAGTCATCGCACCGTTCTAAAACTGTCCGTGTCCGTGTCCAGCAGTCTACTGAGGTTGCCGTTGAAAGCAGTGTTCCCAAAGGCTCAGTTCCTGGTCCTACTTTGTTCATTATCCACATCAACGATTGCGTTAGTGAACTGGACTGTGGTGTCGCAGTGTTCGCGGATGATATTAAGCTCTAGAGCGTCATTCGAACTGCAGATGATGGCTAACATTTGCAGGCAAGCCTACACTGACTCCATCAGTGGTAAAATGACTGGCTTTTGCCGTTCAATGAGAACTAGTGCAATATTCTACGAGTCGGCAGGGCCCACACTCCGAACCACATGGCTTACTGCCTGAATGGTATACCACTGCAAGAAGTGGACTCGCATTAGGACATGGGAATACGGATTATGACTTTGATCAAACCCTCGCCGCAGTGCACGAAGATAGGCAATTCTGCGATGTCAGTCCTTTACATTGTCAAGCGAGCTTTCTCTGCCATTGGTGAAGACTGTTTTGCTAAAGTCTTTCGAACGTTTATGCGGCCGCCATTAAAATCTGCTATTCAAGCTTGGAGACCCTGGACCGCGGTGGACCTCAGCACCATTCAAAGGGTTCAAAGGAGTGCAACAAAACTTGTGACAGGACAGGACTCATTAACATATGCAACACGGTTAGCTAACCTTGATCTCTTTCTCTTGAGTTACAGGCAGTTTCGGGGTGACCTTATAAAAACCTTCCATATCATACGCGGTCAGGACTGCAGCCTCGTAGCGGGGGGCTCATTCGAGTTAGCCACCACCACAAACCTACGAGATCATCCATTCAAACTACGTGTGACCGGGGCCAGACTGGACACACGAAAGTCCTTCTTCTCTAACAGAGTGCTTGAAGCTTGGAGCGCCCTGCTTCCGGATGTCGTTATGACTGATTCCGCCGAGGCCTTTAAGAAAAAGGTGGATTTGTAAAGCAGTGTTCACTGGTCATCAGTTCTTTAACAAGTGCAACTACCTTCCCATTCCATACTAGGTGCTGAGATTTCGCCTAGGCGGAATAATTAGCCACGCGGGGAGCGCACAGGTAAACACTCTTTCCAACGCCAGGACTGATGGGTCAGATGGTCGAGTAATGATCACACAACCAACTAACACAGGTGGTGAAATTGCTTCAATTCACTGCGCGAATGTCGACCATCAAACAGTTATCACACCAAGTGCAACTATTCCGGATGAAGGGATGAGACGTGAATATTCATAGGAATGCTATAACATGGCGACTGCATCCTATAACTACTGCAGCCTCTTGAGCATGAACCACCCGCACCTGCTTTTGTCTCTGCTGATGGGTTCGAGCAGTAATCCGGGACGCTAGGCAAATTCAGCTCTGGTCCCATTGATCGTATCTTCTACTTCACTATTACTTCCTGAGACTCGTTTCTTCGCTTCTGTTGGCAGTGTCCACTAAAATACCACCAAACCCTGCAAACCTGACAAATCCTATTGTTATAATACTTAAATAAATTTCATTTAATGCCAGTTTACAGGCATTGTCAAGGGAAGCGATTAAACACAAATCCGAACAGCAGTGAAAAAAACTCCTGAGCTAAAGGGACAAATATATAGTTGATGGTCGATTTTATGGTTTGGAGGGCTCAGGAGAAAAAACTGCCGGCGGTGTTAGAATATCGACCGTCAAGAAGGGGGGAGGTTGCATGGTATCGGAGATTATCGGACGTCAAATTCCTTTCATGAAGTTAGGGATAGTCAAAAGGGGCGTTGAGGAACAGCTGGTGAGACCGGCCATAGTGTTCAG